ATCCCAAACTAAGATCATCATGGCCGAAGACTAGGAAAGCATGTTAGGAGCCTCATGTCAGATCAGTATTGATATTGGTAGCATGTAGGCTAGGCCTCAGATTCATGGCTATTTAAAAACAAACTGATACTCCAGTTAAATAGATTTAAAAAAAACCTGAACATGTCTATTATATTGTATTCTGATGTATTTAGAGCATTATTTTTTAAGTTTAGCTTGTTATTCTGTGCATGACATGAGGCAGGGAGTCTTATTTTTAATCCTAGATGATATAAGCTCTGGACATAAAACTCAGAAACCAAATTTGATTACAGAAGTATCTTAAATTTTAATATGACAAAATATACCACAAAGCTGAAAGAAGCAACAGACAGGAGAAGATATTTGCAATATAGTAGAAAAATCATTAACATCTAGACTATATAAAGAGATCCTATAATTCAATAAGAAAAAGGCAAAATCTATAGAAAAATGGACCAAGGATATAAAGGAAATTTATAGAAAAAGAAGCTATAAATAGCTGATAAATACATAACAATATTGGTCCTCAGCAGTAGTCATGGAAATTCAAATTAAAACATTTTAAGAAAAACATTTTTCATCTCCCAGATTGACAAAACTTTAAAACCAGTTTTAAAATACTCATTATGCCAAGGGTATGGAGAAATGGATACATGCATTCAATGTTAGCGAAAAGCAAATTTGTATAAGCATTTTTATTGTCAGGGTGGAATATTAGCAATATTTAAGACATACACACTCCACAGGACAGGGATTCCACTTTTAGGTCTATAGGAAAATTCAAATAAGTGTACAGAGAAGTATGCACAAATGTGACGTAGAATCTTCCACAAAAATGCCTTCATCTTATATGTTTTCCAGGCTAAATAAGAGCAGCAAGCCAAAAGCACAAGCCACAAAAGAAAGCAAGCAAGAAAGAAAAAAACAGATAAAGTGTATTTCAAAATTAAAAACCCTACTGCTGCAAATGATACCACCAAGAACGGGAAGTGACTGCTAACGGGTATAGCATTTATTCTGGGAATGACGAAAATAATGATGTTGCAAAAATTCTGTGAATATTCTAAAAACCACTGAACTGTACACTTTAAATGGGTAAATTATACAGTATGTGACTTACATCTCAATAAGCAGAATTGTCTGAAAACATGGGTTTGAACATAAGGTACCTCTTTTTAGGCAAGATGCAGACATAAACTGTTTCCTCACATATAACTATACATGTTCTACCTATTTTGTACATTATTGTATTCTTCAAGTGAAATATAGTAAGTTTCATAAAATTTTCATTATACAAACTTTTATACAAACCATAAAAACCTTTACAATCATTAAGACTAATTGTATCTTAGATTAAGAGTATCTTTAAATTAATAATATTAAGTAAACCTAAAAGAGAAATGTGGTCATCCCAGGATGCTCTCATGAGCTGCATTCTTAAGAATTAATAGGAAATGAAAATGAATTTCTTAGCAAACATACTGAACCGAAATATCAGGAAAAGAGAGAGAGGAGGCAAAAGAGAAAAAGAAAGAGAAGAAGATAAAGAAATTTTAAAATCCTTGATTTGCCCTACTTGTTACCAAGTTTTAATTTGTTAAATATATTCTAACCGGCTTATGTTAGTCTTCTATTTGAAAAATATAAATAGCCTTAAAAGGAATTAACTTAGACCAACAGCTCTCAACCAAAAGTGGTTCACTACTTTAGATAGGCTGGATTTTTACTTACTTAATTAATTTGATAGACTCTTATCTGCACTAGAAAGATATAATCTTCATAAAGAAAGTACTTATGATGGAGTGAAACACCAGTTAAAATATGGTCTAGAGGGCAAGAAACAACAAAATATAGATGATATAATGAAACTGCAGAAAATAAAATGTGTTCTTACCTGTCCATCCATCACACCCAACAAAGCAGATTCCATCCACTGTACAGGTTCAATGAAATACGATGTACATTGAGCCAGACTCCCTGTGGTGAGCATGAAAGATGGTGTCACTCTCTTGTGGGCAAAGGCTATGGGACCACTTCCTTCATTATGATCCAAAATGCTAGAACTTCGAAATAAAGATCGCCTGCAACCCCCAAACAAACAACAACATTAATGACTTCCAAAAGGATGAAAAAATAGATGAAATGTGCAGTGTTTCTTAGCAAAATAAAAATGGATTATGCTACTTTAATTTTCAATAACCTCTACAAGTAACCTGATTTACTTTCACTCTTAAGAATTTATATTCTTATATAAATGGTGGCTCAGTCATTAAGTGTCTGCCTTCGGCTCAGGTCATGATCCCAGGGTCCTGGGATCGAGTCCCACATCAGGCTCCCTGCTCAGCAGGAAGCCTGCTTCTCCCTCTCCCACTCCCCCTGCTTGTGTTCCCTCTCTCGCTCTCTCTCTCTCTCTCTCTCATCAAAAAATAAATAAAATCTTAAAAAAAAAAAGAACTTATATTCTTCTTAAAAGCAGTTTTGAGTTTGAAATTTTTATTTTGTTCAATTAAACAAATTCTTCCTACAGATTTTAAGAAAATGAAACTTTTAGTACATTTTGGCTACTGAGACAAGATAAAATCTCCAGAGGATAGAAAATATTTTACCTGCACTTTCTACACTTGTAGAGAATGCCATCTTTCAGTCCTTGTGAAATGGTGGTTGGGTCAACAGCAAAGAGTTCTTGAGGTAAGTTCTGTAATTCTACATGAGATAATTAAAATGTATCTATTTGTTGAAATCAACTCTGCATTTTCAGACAAAATTCAGCGAATGTCAAATTGAGGCAAGAAGTGCTAACCTCAGGAAAAAAAAAAAAATCTCCAGTGTTGAGAAATCAAGGTGAGGTCAGAGAGCATAGTGAAGAAGCCCTGGGGTTCTGAGCACAGACTGCCTGAGTTCAAATCCCAGCCCACCACTTACAAACCATGTGACCTTGAACAAGTTATTTCTTGCTAAACCACTGGTTCAGAAGGAGGAAAAAAAAAAAAATTGTACCTGTCTCAAGGGATTACTGGAAAAGTGAGATAACGCACCTGAAGCCTTTAGCATCAGAGTAAAGAGCATCTAAAAAGGGCCCAATAAGTACTAGCAATTATTACTTACCTGGATACTTTTCTGTAACTTTTTGTAAACGATATTGCTTATAAATTGCACTAGAGGTATCTACTTCATATCCCATTGCCTGGTATAATTTCAGTTGCCACTCAAATCCCTCATTCATCCTGTAAGGACAAACAAATACAAAGTTAAGTTTTCTCTAAATGGATAAAATCACATTAAAAAAACAGAATTATTTCTATAACAAAAAACTCACTTAGCCTCTGGTTTGATGATCTGGAGATTTTCATAGGCTTTTTCAAAGGTAAGCTGGTCAGTCTTCATCATAAAAGCAATCATTATAGCCACACTTCGACTAACTCCTGCATGACTGAAAAAGAGACCTTTAAAATAAAATATCAAATAGCAGCAATTAAAAAAAAAAAAAAAGCCCAGCTCCCTATCAACGGTAAAGTTCATGTCCAGTTCATGTCTGCTTCTTCTACCCAAATAAACCCTTTGCCTCTAAAATACTACCCACACACAAAAGAATTATTCCTTTATTTCCTTGATCTTTTTGAATTCTGAACCATGGGAATGTATTACCTTTTCAAAAATAATTACACTAATTTAAAAAATTTTATAATGGCTTTGGAAAAAATCCAACGCTCCTTTGCTCTTGGCATTAAAGGCCCTGAAGATCTGGTCCAGGCTTCTTTCCATTTTACCACTACCTTATGTCCTTCATGTAAATATTTACAGCAAGTACTGGCAAGGAGTAAAAGTGCGGACTCAATAAATTTAAACTAGTTATTACACTCCAATGCAACTAAAGAGGACTACTAAGAATTCCCAAATACCTATCAAGATTTTCTTACAGGCATTGCTACAACTTACTCCCATCTTTCCCCTGGGCATGGCTTTGGGCTCCTTTATGTCCTAACCAATTTTCCTCTCCCCATTTCTCTTCACCAACCACCCTCTGCCCCAAACAAAAACACTGAAAATAATCTGCTTTTCCTTGGAAGTTGGAATAACCTTAACCTTTGTTCATCTCTTTTAGTACACCACTCGAATCCTAATCTGCATTACAGTCATCCGGGGACGTTGTCTGGCTTCTCCCGAAGAGCCTTTTTTTTTTTTTAAATAAAGATTTTATTTATTTTTTGATGAGAGAGAGAGAGAGAACACAAGCAGGGGGAGTGGGAGAGGGAGAAGCAGGCTTCCTGCCGAGCAAGGAGCCCGAAGTGGGGCTCGATCCCAGGACCCTGGGATCATGACCTGAGCCGAAGGCAGATGCTTAACGACTGAGCCAGCCAGGTGCCCCTATACTTCAATTTTTTTTTTTAAGATTTTATTTATTTATTTGACAGAGAAAGACACAGCGAGAGAGGGAACACAAGCAGGGGGAGTGGGAGAGGGAGAAGCAGGCTTCCCGCTGAGCAGGGAGCCTGATGTGGGACTTGATCCCAGGACCCTGGCATCATGACCTGAGCCGAAGGCAGACGCCCAGCCACTGAGCCACCCAGGCGCTCCCCGAGGAGCCTTTAAACTCTTTTTAGGTTCAGGGACTTTGCCATCTATCAGCCCCCACTAAAAAACAACTCGGGGATGGGGCCGGGGGCTTCAGAACGAACCAACGGAAACAAGTCTGAATCAACAAAACGAGAATGAATGAGAGCAAGCACGCCATCGGGGGCCCGCCTCCTGCCCCTCCTCTCTCTCGGACACGCGCCAGTCGCGGAAGGGACGGAGACGACGTTCTGGTGGCCTGACCGCCCCTCCGTCCTCCCCGAGGCTCCTCGGAGGAGGCGGGGCCGCTCCCCGACGGGCGGGCCACTCACCAGTGCACCAACACGGCGCGGCCCTCGGCGCGGGCCTGGCTGATGAAGGCCACGCACCGGTCCAGACGGCTGAGCAGGTCAGTCTCGGGCCTGTCCAGCGCCGACACGAAGAGGCTCCGTAGACCCTCCATCCCCGCCCCCGACTTGAAGTCGGGCTCCTCTGAGTCCACCGTCAGCACGGCCGTGATGCCCGCCCGCCTCAGGCGGTCCGGCTCCGCCGCGGCCGCCGCTCCGCCCAGGTACAGCCCCGGCCGCACCTCCAGCATCTGCCCGGCGGAGCTGGCGCAGCCCTGACCGCGCGCCCGCCGCTCGCAGCCATGGCTCCCTGCCTGAGCCTCCAACATGGCGGCCGCCCGGGGCCAAGCGGGCAGGGCCCTACCATGGAGTAGGCGGCCGGCTAGAACGCCCTCTCCGGGGACGAGCCGGCCTGAGCCGCGCAGGGCCTCCCTCGGAGGACCACGGCGACCGTGGGAACGTGTACTAGCTGGGGAGGCGCTGGGCGTCTGAGGCCGAGCGGGCTTTAAACCCGGGTCTGGCCGCAGCCCCCGCAGCTTGATGGCAGCAGATAAATTCCCCAAGTACAGGGTTTCCCAGGCTTATAGTGCTGAGACTTTACGGAAAGGGACAAGAAGAGCAGCGGGACTCAAATTTGAAATGATGGTCCCACCGACTGAATCAGCAGTACCATTTTATGCATTTGGGGTAAAACAGTTGTTTTTTTCCCCCCAACATTTATGAAGCCGTTCGTTTGTATTTCTTCTCTTGTGACTATTTTTTTTTTTTGTCTCTTTGCCCAGTATTTTTATTGGCCTGTGAATCTCTTTCTTGTTAATGCATACTGTCCTATATACTTTTTTTTTAAAGATTTATTTATTTATTTATTTGACAGAGCGAGAGAGGGAACACAAGCAGGGGGAGTGGGAGAGGGAGAAGCAGGCTTCCTGCGGAGCAGGGAGCCCGATGCGGGGCTCGATCCCGGGACTCCAGGACCATGACCTGAGCCGAAGGCAGACGCCCAACGACTGAGCCACCCAGGCGCCCCAGGAGAGAGAGAATCTTTTTTTTAAGATTTTATTTATTTATTTGACAGAGAGAGACCCAGCGAGAGAGGGAACACAAGCAGGGGGAGTGGGAGAAGGAGAAGCAGGCCTCCCGCAGAGCAGGGAGCCCGATGCGAGGCTCGATCCCAGGACCCCGGGATCATGACCTGAGCCGAAGGCAGACACCTAACGACTGAGCCACCCAGGCGCCCCCTGTCCTATATACTTTGAAGATAGTAATCCCATGTTCTTGTATGCTCCTACCCTCCAACCGAAGACCACCAGGAATCTACATCACTTTCTTATCATTTGTATGTTCACTGAAGTAGCATTTTTAATTTCCTTCAAGAACTTTTCCTTTGCATTCACATTTTAGCTAATTGTTTGGCACAAAAGGCTTAGTTTTCAGCCTATCTTGGCTTTTGACACGCCTCTGCCACTAAACTTAATCATTTCTAGCTTCTGCCTTAAAGTGAGAGATGTGTGAGTCCTTTCACTTGAACACTTAGAGACCGTTGTAGGATGATTAATTGGCTGCTTTCAATATTGTTGTGTCTCAGGGACTAGGGAGGCCTGTGGAGAGGGAGACAGATTGGGGGAATGACTGGTCTGTGGAGCAGTGAGAACATATATAACATTTGTTAAATTTGTTGTCTTATATAGATGTGATTTGTGGCACCCGAAAGCAATTACAATAGTAACATCAAAGATCACTGGTCAGAGATCACCATAACAAATATGATAATAATGAAATTGTGGAAATGTTGGGAGAATTGCCAAAATGTGACAGAGACATGAAGTGAACAAATGCTAAATGCTGTTGGGAAAATAGTGCCAATACGCTTGCTCAATGCAGGGCTGCCACAGACCTTCAATTTGTAAAACATGGAATACTTGTGAAGCATAATAACACAGGTATGCCTTTATAGGATTTGGGCTTATATTAGGTGATTTTGGACAGAGTCCAAGGAAGCAGGGCTTTGCTCTGGATTGGACACTGTCAGGAAGTGGCGGTGATTCTAGGATTGGGTATATCAGTGCATTTTCCCTATAGGGAGAGAAGGCTACATAGATGCTACAGCCGTAATTGGTCAAGAGGTAGTAGACAGACACATGGACCAATGGAACAGAATACAGAGTCCAGAAATAGACCCTCACATATATACTCAAATGATCTTCAACAGGTGCTGGTGGGACAATGGCGAAAAATAGCCTCTTCAAATGGTGCTGGGAAAACTGTATATGCACGTGTCAAAGAATGGAGTATGATCCCTACCTTAAACAATATACAAAATTAATTCAAAATTGATTAAGGACCTAAACATAAGACTGTAAAACCCAGGGCTCCTGGATGGCTCAGTCAGTTGAGCATCTGACTCTTGATTTCGGCTCAGGTCATGATCTCAGGGTCATGGGTTGGAGCCTGGCATTGGGCTCCACACTCAGCAGCAAGTCTGCTTGTCCCTCTCCCTCTTCTCCTCCCTCTGCTTGTGTTCTCTCTCTCAAATTAATAAATAAAAATCTTTAGGGGCACCTGGGTGGCTCGGTCAGTTAAGCATCTGCCTTCAGCTCAGGTCATGGTCCCAGAAAAAAAGCGAGCTAAGCCCAAAGTTAGCAGAAGGAAGGAAATAACAAAGATCAGAGCAGAAATAAATGAAATAGAGACCAGAAAATCAATAGAAGAGATCAATGAAACAAAGATCTGGTTTGGGTTTTTTTTAAGGTAAACAAAACTGACAAAACTTTAGCCAGACTCACTAAGCCAAAAGGAGAGAAATCAAAATCAGAGAGAGGAAACATTACAACTGACACCACAGAAATATAAGGGATCATGAGAGACTAGTATAAACAATTATCTGCTAACAAATCGGATAACCTAGAAGAAATAGATGCATTCTAGGAAACATGTAGCCTACAAAGACTGAGTCATGAATAAATAGAAAATCTGAGCAGACCAATAATGAGTAAGTAGATTAAATCATTAATCAAAAATCTTCCAAAAAAAAAAAAATCCCCAAGGCCAGATGGTATCACTGGTGAATTCTACCAAACATTTAAGGAAAAATTAATGCCAATCCTTCTCAAGGTCTTCCAAAAAATTAAAGAGGAGGGAACACTCCCAAATCCATTTTACAAAGGCATTACTGTGATTACAAAGCCAAATAAGGACACTACAAGGAAAGAGAACCTCAGGCCAATATCCCTGATGAATATAGATGCAAAAATTCTCAACAAAATATTAGCAAGTAGAATTTAACAGCAAATTAAAGGATCATACACCATGATCAAGTGGGATTTATCCTTGGGAGGTAAGGATGGCTCAACATTCACAAATTAATAAATGTGATACACCAAATTAGCAGAATGAAGGATAAAAATCACACGATCATCTCAATAGATGCATAAAAAGCATTTGACAATATATAACATCTTTTCATGGTAAAAAAAAAAAACCACACACACAAACTTTCAACAATTGGGCATGAAGGAACATGTCTCAACATAATTTAACAGGCCTTACATAGCAAGCCCATAGCTAACTTCATACTCAACAATGAAAGATTGAATGTTTTCCTCTAAGATCAGGGTCAGGACGTAACTGCCCACTCTCACCACTCCTATTCTACATAGTATTGGAGTCCCAGCCAAAGCAAACAGGCAAGAAAAGAAATAGGACACATCCAAATCGGAAAGGAAAAAATAAACTTGCTTTTGCTTGCAGATATGTGATCCTATATATAGGAAATCCTAAAGACTCTCCCCAAAAACTGTTAGAACTAATCCACAAGTTCAGTAAAATTACAGGATACAAAGTCAACATACAGAAATCAGTTGCATTTCTATATACTAAAAACAAACTATCTGAAAAAGAAAGAAAGCCATCTCATTCACAACAGCATCAGAAACAACTCAGGAATCAATGTGACCCAGGAGGTAAAAGGCCCATACACTGAAATATGAAGGATTAGCCTTTTCCATGGTAACCAGAGGAAAGGGGGAAAGAGTGGGTGGGGATGCAAGGAAGCTCAGTGGTTTGGTGGCAAGAAGCTATAGGCATTTTCTTGCGATGTTTTCTATTTTCTGGGTAAAGAATCCGGCTTATATGCTGAGAATGAGGATGGAAGTTTGAGAAGAAGCAGTTTGAGGAAAATTTGCCTGGAGAGAGTGGAGAACGTCCGCGGAAGCTGACCTGTGGGGTCAGGCGTCCCAGTGCCTGGTCAGTGTTCGCATCATAAAAATAAAAGTCTTCCGTGCGGTAAAGGGTTAACTCAGTAGGCCTTGGTTGCTCAAGCTCAAGCTTGAGGGTAGTCTCTGGAATAAGGAAAAACTGGAACTATCTAAATGACTGCAGGCAATAGGTTGTATCCAGTCAATGAGATACTAGGCAACTATTTAAAAATTTTTTTTTAATTTTTTTTTTTTTTAAGATTTTATTTATTTGTGAGAGAGAGAATGAGAGACAGAGAGCATGAGAGGGAGGAGGGTCAGAGGGAGAAGCAGACTCCCTGCTGAGCAGGGAGCCCGATGCGGGACTTGATCCCGGGACTCCAGAATCATGACCTGAGCCGAAGGCAGTCGCTTAACCAACTGAGCCACCCAGGCACCCCTAGGCAACTATTTTAAAGATAACAAAGGAAATGGTCAATGCTAACTATGTTATATCTATCTATCTATCTATCTATCTATCTATCTATCTATATCTATATACTTTTTATAGCTAGAGCTCCTCGGTGTGGAGGGACAAGTTGGTTTTTTAAAGCTGGTTTACAAATAGAAAACATGTCTTAGCCCGCTTATATGTATATGAAAAACATTGAAAGATATATATCAAACCGTTAACAGTGCTTATTTCTGCGAGCTGGCTTAAGAGACTTACATGATAGTCCTCACACACTTCATTCTATGTAGCTGTTTTGGTTTTTTTTCAACTACTATCATTAAAAGTATTCATTGTAGGGGTGCCTTCCTGACTCTGTCAGAAGAGCATGTGACTCTTGATCTTGGGGTCATGAGTTTGAGTCCCATGTGGAATATACAATTATTTAAATAAAAACTTCAAAAAATTAAATCATTCATTGTTAACAATTATAGATATTTATATTCTGGAAAAAGTGGTAAAAAAACTATTAAGGGTTCATCTCCTGGACATTTTATGAAGTTATCTCAATCATTCCCTCAACTTTATTAGTTTTCTGTTGGAAGTGAGCTTTCGATCCTCAACTCCCTAAAATGGCTAGAAGCTCCTTCAAGGATGGGAGTAGGAGACACATGTGAATTGTTACTAAAGAGCCTGGCCCAGTAAATAGCTGTAACTGGATAACTGAAGCTGAAGATATTTACCAGGTTCTGCATTTGTACTCTTCACCACTAGATGACACCCTTGATGCTTTGGCCAGATAGATTTTTCTGTCCCTCCCTTACAATAGGGAAAAACCGGTATGACAACCTGTAAGAAAAACAGGATGTTAGGAGAGGAAATGCAGGCTTTAGAGAAGGAGCTGGATTGTTTTCTGTCAAAGAGAAAAGAGGCTCCCTGTCCTAGGAGTAGTAGCCCTCACCCCCACCCTGCCACGCCACACCACACAGACCCAAAGGTAATTTATCTGTTCATTTTATCATCAGAAACCCTGCAACCTTGATAAATATGGATTAAACAAAAATTCTTACAATTGCTAAAAGATTGTCAAGTATGTGGTGGCTTGCATGTTAAGAAGACACCCATTTTGTGTAACAAGACCTGATCACATGAGAATACACATCACCCAGACTTCCCCTTCTTTAGTTGTTTCTCAGAAATGTTTGGCTACAGTATGATAATTTATCATTTTTGTCTTTAAAAGTATTTTCTGTAGGGTGCCTGGGTGGCTCAGTCAGTTAAGCGACTGCCTTCGGCTCAGGTCTTGATCCTGGAGTCCCGGGATCAAGTCCCGCATCGGGCTCCCTGCTCAGCGGGGAGTCTGCTTCTCCCTCTGACCCTCCTCCCTCTCGTGCTCTCTGTCTCTCATTCTCTCTCTCGCAAAAAAATAAATAAAATCTTAAAAAAAAAAAAAGTATTTTCTGTAAACGCATATCTATGCTGAGCCATGAGCAAGGAAATTTCCCCTCTTTTGCCCCATCACCTCCCCATCAAAGTCCAAAAATGAACTTCCTCCTTCTATCCTCAACATGTTTACCGGACCCTCCTATACCCAATGAGTTATCAGTAAATGTTTGTCAATGGTGTTCTTCATGGGACTTAAAATCAAAGGGCGCCTGGGTGGCTCAGTCGTTAAGCGTCTGCCTTCGGCTCAGGTCATGATCCCAGGGTCCTGGGATTGAGTCCCACATCGGGCTCCCTGCTGGGTGGGAAGCCTGCTTCTCCCTCTCCCACTCCCCCTGCTTGTGTTCCTGCTCTCGCTATCTCTCTCTGTCAAATAAATAAATAAAATCTTAAAAAAAAAAAAAATCAAAGACAGGGATGAAGATCCACCTGAAATGTACTTTGAGGCCAAGTAAAAATGAACCAAAAATACAAACGGGTGATAATGACATAATTCCATTATTTGGCTTGTGGTTGCGAGGGGAAGTGGCTATCTAGAAAGTGATGAGCTGGGACTAGGCATTGTTCTGGAGGGGCACAGTCTGAAGCCAGAGAAAACCTAAGTGTGATCCTGAGCTGCACTGGCCCCTGCTTCCCAGCAACATGTGGTGATGTGCCTTTCTAGAAAGTTCTCTGATTTCCCTAAGTCTCTGTTTCTTCCTCTGCAAAATTGGAGTGATTATAGCCATATTACATGACTTACTAGTGACAGAGAGATATCCTGCGCTGAACCCCTGCACCAAGAACAGCCTCCAGGGGCTTGGGAGAGGGGAGCTGAGTTGGGGTGAGGGAGATGCCTGCAGATGGCTTGTTCTGCTGAAGCTGTTGAGCAGAGATGAACCATGGACTGTGATCTGTCCAGGAATTCAGTGGTCATGAAGATTAGGGGAAAGTGGATTCTAACCAACAACCCTGCGCAAGCTCACTTGTTCACTTGGCGTCTGTGTCTTTGTAAAGATGTGTTCTCCTTCCCTAGAGGCATACCTACTGTCAAGATTGAGGAAGAAACTTCAGCTCTAGGCACCCTGGGACCAGAGATAACTGAATGGAGTTGGAGCACCCTCGGTGTGGAGGGACAACTTGGTCAACTGACGCAACAACTCTCCCTGCCTCACTCCCAACCCCTCCCCAACCCCCAACATTTGCAAACTTACCATGTCCTGCAGCTATCCTGAGAAATGCTGTGCCAGGAACTGATCTCAGTTTCTTTTTGACTCAAAGAGAAACTGGTAAACAGAGAGTCAGATGAGCAGAGCAAAGGGGACCACAAATGTTCCCCGTTGCACATTGGGGGTTTGCTGGGTTACATTTAGCAGAACCTGCTTCCCCATCCGCAAACAAAATGCAGGGAATGGCCTATGTTACAACCTTCCCAACGTTAACAACTTTGGAGCTCTTTTGCTGCCCAAACTTCATCCAGTGAGTTACAGTGGAGAGAGCTCTGGACAGGTGCACCCAAGTCCTAGACAGAAGTGTTGTTCTGTCATGTGGTGGTTGTAGGACTTGGCCAAGCCAGTTAAACCCTCTGAACTGCAGTGTCTCCAACCACAAAAGACAAGGCCAATGATGCCGCTTCTAACATTCCCCAGAGGGCTTAAATTATCAAATCTGAAATCCTATAAACTTTTGGTCAGTCCACAAAAGATTTCGAAATCCTTTAAAATGCTGTTCCTTGCCCCTCCTCACCACCAAATATACTCCACTTGTCAGTGTTTCATATTTACAATCTCACCCGTTCCAGGAAATATTTCTTTGCCCACTCCTACCAGTAATCTACTCATCCCCAGCCAGGAGAACTGAAAGTAGTGACAGGCCATTTACAAACATTCAAATCAGCAGGAGGAAACTGCCCAAGGAGAAAAACCAAAAACAAAAGCTAGATTTGGATGTTCACAGAAGCACTTCCATTTGGTCCCAAAGTTGAAATATTTTTTTAAATTACATAATGAAACCCTCCTTGATTCTATCTCCATTGATTCGTTCTTGCTTAGCAATGAGAACACTGCACGGAATCAGATGAAGACCTTAGGGTCAAGCTTGCTCTGTGTAGATATAGGTACAGATACCCAAACCATGTGCTACGCTGGCCATACAAACAAAATACTTGGGGCTCAGACAAAAAAAGGAATTCATTTTGGCTGGACAAAACTGGGAGAAACTCTCTGAGAAGGTGGCATTTGAGTTGGGTCTTTCCCAGAGGTGAAGGAGATGAGGGGAAAGAGGTGGGGGAGAGCCAGGAGGAGGGTGCACCCAGATCTGAGGACTGACACCCGAGACGGTCTCATTCTGCATGCCCAATGTGGCTAACTAAAGAGATTATTTCTTGTCAGACTTCACAAGGCATCCTGGGACATGTGTTCGGTCACATTGGCCATATCCAGCCCTAATGGCAGCCACATCAAGTTGCAGCCCCTGTGGAGGCCTCATGGTTCCACAGCCCCCTGTCACAGAGGGTCTCAGAATCCCGTAGCAGCCTGCCAGGTACTGAGTGGATAGGCCTCCATCTCTGCTTATACCTTTAGGCCATCAAACCAGTAAGGTTGCCTCCGATCCAAAACAATGTTCTAGAGCAGGTTCCTGCAGGAATGACTGATAAGCACGTACAGAAATAAGCAGCTAGGGCGCCTGGGTGGCTCAGTTGGTTAAGCGACTGCCTTCGGCTCAGGTCATGATCTTGGAGTCCCGGGATCGAGTCCCACGTCGGGCTCCCTGCTCAGCAGGGAGTCTGCCTCTCTCTCTGACCCTCCCCCCTCTCATGCTCTCTATCTCATTCTCTCTCTCAAATAAATAAATAAAATTAAAAAAAGAAAGAAAGAAAGAAAGAAGCAGCTATATTCAGCACAGTGTTATCAGCCATAGACAGCATGGCTCTTAACTATAGCTAGTCATATGGTGGGCATGGTGACTGTAGTTAATAACACTGTACTGCATACTTAGAAGTCGCTAAGAGAGTAGATCTTAAAAGTTCTCATCACAAGAAAAAAATTCTGTGACTATGTGTGGTGATGGGTGTTAAGCAGACTTACTGAGGTGATCATGTCACGATACATATAAATATTGAGTCATTCCATTGTATTCCTGAAGCTGTACGTTGGATGTCAATTATACCTCAATTTAAAACCAGCAGCAGCGTCCACCAGGGGCCAGCATGAGCTTACCAAGATCAGTCTTGCTCGGATAGTCTGTTCTTTTCCTGACAGAATGACTACGTAGGCAGATGAAGGAGACTGCTCACACACCAGATCTGTACTTCTCTGGGCTGTGGGATACATCTCCTGTGGACAAGGGCAGAAATATAGGCTGGATATCAGAACAATTGAGTCATGAGTTGAGGTTGGTAGTTGGTTAAACGATTGTACCAGAAGGAACAGAAATGGATCAAGGAGAGAGATTTCTAGGGAGAGAGAGCCCTCACGTAAATTTCTTTCATCTGTTTTATACAACTTTTTGTTGTTGTGGATTGATTTGGGTTAGGGTACTGAAGACCGGCTTACCTAATCTGCATGTGTTACAGCCGAGAGGAACTACAGTGGGATCCAAAATGATCTTAGGAAGCTAACAAAGACAAAGTTCAAAAGAGATAAGGTTCTGCACTTCGGTCCCCCAAATGAATCACAGAAATATAAATTGGGGGGCAAAGAAGTACACCTTAGATGGAAAGAATCCTACAGGTGAGTTTGCAGACAGTAAGCTTAATGAGGCTGGGCGAAATCACTGGAGCCCTGGAAAAGCTGTTGTCCTTCTCCACCCCCGTGTCTGTTTCTACCCCTCCACTAACAAGTCCTTTAGTCTCTGGGTCTCCATTCGGGTTTCTAGAATCAACAAGTTGGACTAAATCTCCAGGTCCCTGACAGCAGTAAATTTGAAGACCCAGCCCTTTACCTTCTCTGGAATTGGGGTCAGCGTTCACTCCACTACCTTCTCGAGTGCCTTTCTGAGCTGCAGAACCTGGAAAGTTGGAAGGGACGAAGACTCCCTTGCCACGCGGTGTGGGGCCCAGCTGAGGTCTGGCCACTCGGAAGCCTTTGGATAACATACAGAAGGTGAAAGTGAAGAAGAGGCTGTACTTCGGTCGCTTCTGTTCCTTCTGGAAACAGGGTGCAGAGGGTTTGGGGTTTTCCATAGCAGCCGTGGCAGAGATTCCAGCGTCCAGGATCTAGCTCAGCGGTGCTCAGAGGCAGGGCCCTGAGCATCCATTTCTTGGACTAGAGCAGACCAGGTTCCCTCCTGGTGCCCCCGAAATCATTGCTTCTTTCTTATCTTATCATGGCTATTTCTCTGATCACAGCTGTGTCCGAGTGGTCCTTGACTGGCGATTTTCTGATCATGGAAGGAGCAACATCTCCCACAGTGGCTTGATACTGGGAGGCTTCGCTGAAAACTCAAACTAGAATCTGTTTCTTCATCTATCCCAACTATTCTGTAGGCTGTTAAATACTATGTAATAAATTCCTTCCTACTTCATCCAGCTAGAGTGGATTCTGTTCTCCAAAACTGAATGCTGATCAATATGACAGTATACTTTTTTTTTTTTTAAGTCCTGGAAGAGCACACACTAAATTGTTAGATGGTGGTGACCTCTGTAACCACCGGGGGGGTGGGAAGGTGGCCTCCGAAAGCAGACTTGAACATTTTTCTATATACTGTGACTTTTTAAAAATAGAGACAACATAGTCCCTCGTGAGGCTATGCTTAAAAAATTAAATAAGGTGGATGACTTGTATGTTGAAAGCACAATTTGTGGCATAATCAAAAGCAGCTTTTTAATCTTTTCATAATCCATTTAAAATGTATTTAATGGGTCAGGGGCGCCTGGGTGGCTCATTCGTTAAGCGTCTGTCTTCGGCTCGGGTCATGATCCCAGGGTCCTGGGATCGAGGTCCTGGGATTGAGCCCCGCATCGGGCTCCCTGCTCGGCAGGGAGCCTGCTTCTCCCTCTCCCACTCCCCCTGCTTGTGTTCCCTCTCTCGCTGTGTCTCTCTCTGTCAAATAAATAAAATCTCTTAAAAAAAAAAAAATGTATTCGATGGGTCAGTCTTGCCCTGCTCCCAGCACTTTCCTAGCGGTATTGGCATCCATTGGGAGCTTGTTAGAAATGCTGGATCTCGGGCCCCACCTTGGACCCACTGAATTAGAACCTGCATCAGAAGAGCACTGGGTGACTCACATGTACATTAAGGTTTGAGACAATTCATGATTTTTCTGCTTCTCTTGATAATCGATAATCCTATAATGACTTTAGGTCACAAGCATAGTTTCAATTTATAAATTAGAATGCCCAGTCCTCCATGTTCGTCAGACCCCAATCTTAATTCAAAGATAAGTCTTTGTCCTGCTTACCGAGCTGAGGTCCTGATGTGGGGAAGGAGCTTGATGGGTCTTCCTCCCCCTACCTCTCTCATTAAGATGTTTCCCTTGGGTCTCACCTAAGCCAAAGTTGGAGAGAAGAGAGAAGGGAGGATGGGTAGGGAAACAGAAAGTTCTCATGTACCTGGGCAGTTTTCTGCTCTCTGAACTTGGCAGGTCACATAAGCCAATGTTTTTTCCCATGGGTACTTTTGTGGACTTTTTGGAGATGTTTATATCGGAGGACTGCTCTCTCTGGGCCTGTGTTCAAGGCAGAGGCCTCATGCATCTTGCCTCTAGGTGTTCACTTGCACCTCTCCCCTCAGCTCCTGGAATTCAGGTTCACCTTCAGCTTTTTGGTGACTTCATCAACCCCTCCTGGTGGCCTTAGGTACAGGAACCAAGACAATCCCATGCCAGCTTGTAACCAAATTCAAGTTCATAGGCCCAATGCACAACAAAGACCATTACTGAGACATCAGGTATACAGTGAGGAAAGGGTTTATTCCAGATGCCACAAAATGAGGAGACTGGAGGGCAAGCCTCAAATCAGCCTCCCCAAGGAGGAGAGTCAGGGATCTTTAAAGGCAAATGAAAAGCATAGCTGCAGCTGAGTTTATTAGTCCCATTAACCCTATGAGTGCCGGTTTCAGGCTCTGTCTTTTAGGAACCATGGAAATACATAGAGGGCTTTGCTCCAGGATATTCTGTAGCACAGGCTGATCCCAAAACAAGCTCTTCTATGCTACAGCCACTGCTCACCTTAACCTTCTCAGGTGTGAGTCAGGCCCGGTTCCCTGTCAGTCTCCCAACTCAACACATTTCAGACCTCTCTGGGTGACTCCATGGGTATCTTCCTCATTAGGCTTGAGGGAGACCTGGGGAGCTTCCCACACCTTCGCACTATGAGGAAGAATTATCATGGGAACTCACACCACGGCAAAGGAATCTCTTTACAAATCTTCTCTCTTGGGGAACCTGGGTGACTCAGTTGTTAAGCGTCTGCCTTCGGCTCAGGTCATGATCCCAGGGTCCTGGGATCGAGCCCCGCATCGGGCTCCCTGATCAGCAGGAAGCCTGCTTCTCCCTCTCCCACTCCCCCTGCTTGTGTTCCCTCTCTCGCTGTGTCTCTCTCTGTCAAATAAATAAAATCTTAAAAAAAAAAAATCGTCTCTCTTCCCCTTTTAATCTCCTCGATGTGACTACAGAGTCCAGAAGTCAGGGAATAGATCCTCCACCATTTCCTCTGTAAATTGTGCATGTGATAATCTGGTTTCAGAATTTCACATCTATTGTATCATGAAATATCACTTTAGACATCCCGTCACGAGTGCAATTGCTTGACTGTAAAAAATAAAAATAAAATCCTGCCTTCCTGCCTTATTCTCCCAGACACCCCCCCTCCTCCAAGGAACTGTAATCAGTTGTGGGTCCCACATTTTAAACCAGATAGAAAGCAGCTGGAGATGTGCTCAGAAAAGCTGGGATGGAGAAGGAACTCCAAATTAGGGACAGTTGAAAACACTGAAAAAAAAACAAACAAGAAAAAGAGTCTATCTTTAATAAAGCCTAAACATGACCTAATCAGAGTCTTTAAAATCTGTGAAGGGCTAACAAGAGGATCAGGAATTAGATTTGTCCTGTGTACCCCTAAGAGGTGCAGTGAATAAAAGTTATAACAAAACTGTTTCAAATTACATTTGAACCCAAGTCTGAACTCCTGAGCCAGGGTTCTAAACCTCTATACTCTGCTACCTCTAGGCCCAAAGCTAATCAGCTTGGCTATTACAATTTAACATGGTACATTGGGGGCATATTTACTTTAAGAGAGGAGGAGGATGGTAATCTCCCACATCACTGCAATAAGATGGGCTCCCTTGAACTGAAAAAGACAAAAGTGTATTACACCTATTCTTTTGCCTTAGATATAGCTGGATCAGGGATATAAATTATATGAGGCCTCTGATTATGAGGAGAATATCAAGCATTGAAACCAATTATCTTTGCAGGTGTGGTGACTGGGGAATGAGCTAAGCTAATATGGGCTAACTGTAGCATATGTTGGAAATAAGAGCTCTACTTGGCAGAAAGTCCGCATTTAATAAGTAAGTATGGTCAGGAGTGCATTTCCCTTAGTTAACTACGGACCAGCCATCATGTAATTCAGAAGATGGGTGGGGCAGCGTTACAAATAGGGGCATTGACTCCAGAGGGACCGAACTGCTCAGCACTACATGACACTAGGTTAGTAATGGTTCAGGATCCAATGGGAATATTAAACAGCGGATAAAGAGTTAAGAGGTTCTCTGGGTCTAATTAAGAAATAGGAGCATGATGGCGTGCTCTCTTGACTAGGGTAGGAGAGACAAGCCCTCTCATATATATCTAGTGGAAGTTCGAATTGCTACAATCTCTTTGAAGGATAATTTGACAACATCTATTAAAATACAATATAAAATCCAGCAATTCTACTTCCAAGAGTTTATCCCACAGATATATTCAAAGACATGTGTAAAGATGTAGGGGTGGGGCACCTGGGTGGCTCAGTCGGTTAAGCGTCCGACTCTTGATTTCGGCTCAGGTGATGATCTCAGGGTCATTGGATCAAGCCGTGTAGGGCTCTGCGCTCACTGGGGAGTCTGCTTGAGGATTCTCTCTCACTCTCTCTCTGTTCTTCCCCCAGAGCGTGTTCTCTCTCTCTCTCTCAAATAAATAAAAAAATAAATAAATCTTTGGAAAAAAAAAGACATAGGGGTAAGGATATTCACTGCAGCATAAAGTCAAACAGCAAATGTTTAGAATCATCTAATACTCTGTCGATAGGGACTGGCAGATGTCATCTCTCCAGGAATGATTTGTGAACCCCCACTAGTGTCCCTCCGCTGTGCTTCTAAGCATCTTAGCATCCTCTGTCTTAAAACTTCTAGTAATGAAGGAATCCATTTACTTGTCTGTGTCTCCCTGTAAGGTTTCTCTTATTTCCCTAATTTTTCTGATGAGGACACTTGGGCTCAGAAGGCTTGAGCAGCCCCCCATCGAGGTTGAGGCAAGAGTATATGCCAAGGTACAGTGGTGGGCGAGGGGCTGGGGTGTTGGGGAGAGAGCAAGTGGCCAGTGTCACTGCGGTACAGGGTGAATGGGCTCCATAGGCCACGATAGGGAGTTTGGACTTCAACCAGAGGATGTGATCCAATCTCTTAGGGAAAAAGTCATCAGTGTAGGACCCAAAGAGTTCCCCTTTTCCCTAGAGTTAAGACGAGATAAGAAACTGAGACTCAGGGAGGCTGAGATCCAACTGGAACAACTTGCCAGGATCATCTCTGCTCTCTGATAGCAGACTTTTGGTTTCCTTGTCTGGAATCTGGGTTAAGGTCTGAGACCTGAGTCTGAGGCACTGAACTGAACCGGGAACCAGAGAGAAGTAACTTCCTCCCCAGGCTTCTCCAGCATGTTTTGCTATCGTTTTTTGCTTTGGAATGAGCTCTAAGCTCTCCCAAATGCATATTGGAACCTCAGCCGGAAGCTGGATGAGGTCATTTTTTCCCCCAGAGGGGCATGGCCAGTAAGTTGCCTATCTGATGTTTCTTGCTATTTTCGTAGTGTAGGCCTTCCTGGAGATCATTAACAGGTGTTATAGGGGATGATCTATGAGAGCTGGGGGTTTAAAACAGTGTTCTAGAGGACATATGAGTCAATCCCTCCCACCCCTGGCGAGACACAGAGAGAGAGAGAGAGAGAAGCTGCATCACGAATGATTTCCATTCTCATGCTTAAGTCTTGTTCTTCCCCATCTCCCACATCTCTAGTGCAAAAGGGAGGTGGGTGGCAGGACAGGAAGAAGGGTATTGCGGCTGCTAACAGGATGTTAGTGAAGGAGATACTGTCATACCAGCTCTCTTGTGAGGGGCTATGTCACTTTTTTTTTTTCTCTCTTGA